CCATTTTAATTTGAAGCAAATGAATATATTTTATGTAGTATTGCTGTAATATTAATATCTATTTTTTGGTATTTGTATGCATTAAATTAATCTTATTGGACGGTTAGTTATTTATATGTTTTTGAATTGGACTACGTTAATTTGTAAAAGTTACGAATGAAATATCATTAGTTGTATTTATATAGTGTTGCTGTAAATATTAAAAAATTTAATTATCGTACGGAACCGAACGGAACCGAACCGACCCAAACCGAACCGAACGAAACTGAACCCGAACGGTTCCATAATTATATTTGGACCCGACGAGTTCATTTATTAAATATCCGAAAGTTTTGGGTCGGTTCGGATCTCTTCAGAACCGAATCGAACCGAACCGACCCACGGACAGTCCTATGAGAAACTTGTGCTGTAGCCTATTCCAAGATCATCAGGTGACTGTTTGCTGGCTCCTTTAGTAATGGTTATATTATTTATGTTATACGTGTACTTTGCTAAAATTGAAAATTGTTGAAAGCATATATAAACTTCTGTTTCTTACCAAATTACTGTGCTTGAACACGGTGCAAAATCAGTATTTTACAGAGTTGTGGTGTTAATAGTGGGAGGGGCGAAACATGGAAGACTTGTAAAGACGCTGAAGAGTGCATAAATTATATCAGGCCTAAATGTTTCTAGTAATTTTCGGTTTCAACCTGTATCAAAATTTTCCATTTGGGGATTCTTCGTAGCTACCCCTTGGTTTTTACATTGTCTCGAAAGCAGACGCTTGCCAAATGTTAGCTAAACTCCTTTCCTGTTATTATTATCCTCTTGTCCTTGGTTCTCCCTAAAACTTGACGTTCTCGCTTTTCTTGGAGCTGCAGAACATTTAGGTCAGAGCTTCTGGAATTCTTTGTAGGATTGACATTTGAAAATCAACAGAATCAATGGAGGTATTTGGCAAATCTATGGTAGCTGCTACAAATGTTATTTACTTGTCGAGTATTCTTGGCCAAGATGGATCTAACTGTGTTCACAAGTGTGATTGGAAATGTGAAAACGAACACATCTGCGGGAACATGTTCCGCTGCAGACTAACTGGGCTGACACACGTCTGTGACAAAAACTGTAACCAGAGAATTCTGTACGATAACCATAGCTCCCTTTGCAGAGTGAGCAAGCAGATTTTTCCTCTGACTTCGGCTGAGCAACAGGCAGTGAAAGGTATCAGGAGGAAGCTTGAAGCTGAGAGTTCCCCCAATGAGAGCTGTGCTTTTAAGCGCAGAAGGGATGCACAGTATAACACCTCACCATTTGAGAAATCATTCTCTGCTGTTAGTCCCATCTGCAGTCAAATTGGCGAGAGCATGGATATGAGCTAGATACAATTACTACTAATTTCGTATTCACCTTCCACTCCCCCTGCCCCCTCTGAGTTTTACTTTTTCCTGGAATTATTATTGACTACCGAACTTGATCAATGACGGACCTTACTATATTTGACTTTAGTTTGTTGAGTTGTAGCTCTTCCAACAGCATAAATCCTTAGAAATCAATAGTGCTAGATCCTGTGAACATTAATGAAATTTGAGTTGCATATCATAGCGTATCTCAGCTTAAACTTTATTGTAAACATTTTATTTCCTCCATGAGAAGTAATGTGGTGTAGACCGTTTAGATGGAAGCATGTGATCTTCCATATGGTGCATTGGCTTTATAGTACGTGTTAACTGAATGCTATCTGTGTTCTCTGGGTAACTTTCTTTCATTTGATAAAGCATCGAATTCCTTCTCATTATGGCTGTTGTAACATTAATTACTCAGTTTCAAGGAGCAACTGTACTTCAATAGTTGGTAGAGACATTCTTGTTCTTTACATTGTTATGTGTCTCAGGTCTTGGAGCAGCAGCTAAGTTTCTCTCATATTTAATGTTTCACCAGCTCTTCTTTTTTATGTTCTTATTCTGGTTGTTCTGTGCAGGTGATCCTAAAGTTAATGTTATTTTTGCAGCGACTGAAGCATTGTATTGGACCGGAGAGTTTGAGATTTTTATAGCTTCTTCTGTTAATGAACGATTTCGATAGAGGTAGTATATGTTGAATCTTAAGGAAGTTTCTAATTATTTATCTGTTATCTCGTGCAGGATAAAATATTGCGCTTGGATACATTTTAGTTTACAGACTTGCCAAACCTTGATGCTGAATTGAACATTCCAGCCAATGCAGGTTCTCTCTTCAGTTGGTTTGATCTCTTAACTCATCAACAACTGGAGTTCCAGTCAGATACGGCTCAACCATCAATGCAGAGAGATCCTTATAAAATGAAAAATGTTGTCTCGACTTCCATTTCCATCTCAGCCAACCCTTTCAAGCGTCCTTTGCTATTTGGCTGCAGAAATTGAATACAAAGGCATTTTTCTGGTTCAGTCGAGCATTCTTTGTGGAGAATGTTTCCTAAGATCAATTTGTATATACTTGTCGCAATTTTGTTGGTTTGAGATTCATATAGCCATGCCATGAACAATGCTGGACTCCTAGGGAGGGTGTGAATAGGGGGGGCATTTTTTTTTTCTTTTTTAATTCATATGGGTCCCGCGTGGGTCCCAGCACAATGTGAGAGGATGTTAACAAAAGTGTCAATTTTTTTTGCAAAATGGTTTAATTCGCCATGATATACCTACTCTTTCAAGAAATGTACTCTGGATTCTTTGTTTCCAATTCTGGTCTTCTAGTCCACGTAAAAAGCTATCATTTCGTCCTTATATTGTAGTGCAGTAGCATGCAATGTACTTGTAAACCATCTCTTGATTGGATTGTGGTGAACAGTAGAATAAAAAACCTTTGAAAGATGCTACAAGGACAGGGTGAAAACAGATTCAAAAATAGGTGCGCCACGTGTCCGCACACGATTGAGCAGTTTGAAAAATAAAAAAAAACAACACTCAATCAACACTTGCCACATCACCCTATTTTTCCCTATTCTGTTTTAAACCCAGGACAAGGAGAATAATTGAAAACCCTTTGTTTACTCATTAGTGAAAACTGTATGAATGGTAATTAGAATGAAGAATTTTGCTACAAAAACAGGGCCAGTGACGGATTTAAGAACATGTGGGGTACGTGTCATTCATTGATTCTACAATTCAAAAAAAAAAAAAAAAATTTACCCAAACAGGTGCTGACACATGCATTTGTTTTTTCCTTCCATGTCACTGACCTTGTTTGAATAAATTTTCCCTATAATGAAATGGGCACATACGAAAACAATAAATTTTCCCTATAATGAAATGGGCACATACGAAAAAAATCGATCAATACAAATAGAGACGTTTAAATTATGATAAGATATTTACTTGCATTTTTTTTTTCCAACTAAAATATTTATTAATTCATTAGTAGATCAAATAAAGATATGATGTACCAATTTATAATTATTATACCAATAAATAGTTTAAAAATCATAAATTTTTCAGCATATAATATCCAAATAATTAAACGCTTGAAATAAAATCGAAATCGTGCCAACAAATAAATCCTAGGCGTGGCCTTCAATTGTCCAATAAAGGAAACTTCGATTTTGCGTTTTTGGGGTTACGAAACATTCATTCTTATCTCAACACATTAGAAGGTGAGGCTGAAAATGCCCAAAAAAAAAAAAAAAAAAAAAAAAAAAAAAAATAATTTAAAAAAATAAAAAAAAAAAAAATTTACCCAAACAGGTGCTGACACATACATTTGTTTTTTCCTTCCATGTCACTGACCTTGTTTGAATAAATTTTCCCTATAATGAAATGGGCACATACGAAAAAAATCGATCAATACAAATATAGACGTTTAAATTATGATAAGATATTTACTTGCATTTTTTTTCCAACTAAAATATTTATTAATTCATTAGTAGATCAAATAAAGATATGATGTACCAATTTATAATTATTATACCAATAAATACTAATAGTTTAAAAATCATAAATTTTTCAGCATATAATATCCAAATAATTAAACGCTTGAAATAAAAAGGAAATCGTGCCAATAAATAAATCCTAGGCGTGGCCTTCAATTGTCCAAAAAGGAAAACTTCGATTTTGCGTTTTTGTGGGTTACGAAACATTCATTCTTATCATTGTTAGCGAAATCTAAAAATCAACGTCGACAATATTGAAAGATAAAAAGTTAAAAACACACTATTGTATTGTATGATTACCCTTGTAGACACGTCCAGTTTCAACAGAGTTACTTCTAATAAAGGTCGTGACAAATGTGCATCAGCAATAGGGCATGAACTGATAGAAGGCACGACTCCGATTTTATTGTCCACTAGTGCCAAGATTTGAATTTGAAGATTAGCTTTTCGAAATTGTGTGCGTAATATTCGCCATACTTTTTAATTCTATGTGCTAAGTTTAGTTGAGTGCACCCCAAAATGTGATAGAGATGGCGAAGAAGGGGACTCCAAGCAAGCACTAATGTCACATCCACAATGAATAAAAGAAATCAATGATTAATGATTTGGATTTATCTTTTGCAGGCTCAATTTGTATACCTAAACCCATCTTTAGAAACATTTAATTTTCATTTATAATTTTACCAATTTTTGTTCTTCCCCCTTCTTAATCCCACCTCAAAAAAGACAAAAAAAAAAAAAACATAAAATTAGACCTAGCCCAATTTGGTAAAAATTGAAATTCAGATTTTAATCTAAGTAAACAATTAATTTTAACTAAATATTTTATAGGATTCACAATTTTTTAATCACACATTTCATTAACTTTTATCTATTAAAAATTGATTGTAATCCTACCGAATAGGAGTATAATATGTGTCCCATTTTTCAAAGAATATGTTTTGTAACAGTGAATTTTTTAAGGATGAACATTGAGCCCCGTATCTTTTTTATTTTTCATCCGTAAAAATGAAAAAAATGACTATTATCCATCACATTAAGTCATCAATTTTGAATTTCTATTTCTTGTGTGGGGTACAATAACGACTATATTTTTCATTCTCATTCTATAATAATGAGAATCAAACGGGTCCTGAAAGTAGAAAAAAATTTGTGTTTAAGCCTTTGTTTGAGCCATATTTTGAGAGAAAAATACAGTTTTGAATAATGATTTTTAGAGAATGTGTAATTAAAAACTGTGAAAAAGTTTTTAATTGTTATTTGATTGAAGAATGTGTGATTAAAAATAAAATTTTTTTAAAAAAAATGAGACTGAAACAACCTTATTAATTAACCTTTGTCTTTCTCTTCAATCTGCATTTTACGCAATCTCTCTATTAAACACGCTATAAATTCTCATCCTTTCTGATCTCCCGCCTCACCCCCCGTCCTTTTTTTATTTTTCAAGAAATTAAAATCTCCCAAGTAAGTACTTTTACTTATAATCAATTATTTTCAGTCTATAGTAATAAAAAAGGGTATAAATTTAATGAATCTTGTCATTTTTAGTTGTTTGATTGTATTTCCGTTTAATCGGTTAGTGGGACATGAAATTAATCATGGGCTCTACTTTTTTATTTCAAATGCAAGAATTTTGATCTGTATTTTCATGTTTAATTATTTTCTCGTATTTTTTTGTATGTTCAATTTTGACGCGCATATATAATTCTCGAATATATTGCATATATTATATTATTTTGTGTTGCATGAAATCATAAATATAGCTTAAGTTCATATTTTGAGGGTTGTAATTGCATCACCAATTATGATCCTGTTAAGGAAATTTTCTTGCTTTAATTATATTTTTCTGGGTGTATTTTCAGGAATCTATATATGGGTCTTTTTAAGGAGCTTGTTTTAGGTAGATTACCAGTTTTGTATAAATAAAAACTGTAGATGGAATAAAAAAGACAGGGACAATCCCGGAATTTTTTTGCTTTGAAAATTAAGATTTGGGGAAGATTCCCAATTATGGAAGAGTTGGATGCACAGATACGTTATATAGTTGAAATTGGAAAATTGGTGTAAAGTTTGGTTTACTTGAAGAAATGGATTTGTACAGTTATCCTTGGCCGGAAAATGGGAGGTTGGAACAAATACTTAATCAGTTTTTCTCGAAAAGCCTGCACATGATATTGGATTCGAGGGTGCCTGCCATCCGGCCGTCTGGTCGCTATGGGGAAGTAAAAAAGAGTGATAAATGGTTCAATTTGGTATTAGGAGATCGTCCTTCAGCCATGGAAAACTTGAGTTTTTGGAATCGAAGTTTCATGGAACCCATGGTTATTGATATTATACTCGTTCAAGAATTGCCAAAGTCTTCACCGGAGCATAATTCAAGTATTTCTATAGGCTCAGACATGGTAAAAGAGACGGCCATAGAGAGGTGGGTTGTTCAGCACGAGCATCAAAAGGCAGTAGCTTATCCAATTAGTGAAGCTTCTTACAAGAAGACATACAAGAAATCAATATTACTCTTATGCTCCGTTTATTCAATGTTGAGACTCCTTCCAGCATATAAGGCTTTTCGTAGACGAGGTTCGAGTCAGAATTGTGATTTTGATATCAATTACAAGGTCTGCACATATGCTGTTCCATTTCCAAGGGAGGAGGACAAGCTGATGAAGAGACATAATTTCATTCCCATTGACACCCAACAAGGCACCCTTTCTATATCTTTGATGTATCGTCAAAATCTGTCTGATTTCAACCTGGATGCTTTTTTATCTTTTCCCTCAGAGATCATTACAGATTATGTTGGGAGCCCACTTACCGAGCCTATCAGACCATTCCCTGCTACTTTATCTGAGAAGGATTTTTGTGCTACATCCTTCCCCGTGAGAGGGAGTCAACCGACTTCATCCGCATTTCAACGTCGACATAGCTGGACAAGTGGGATCCATGGGGACGCTTCTTCACAAAAGAATCAACCATCTAGTGAATCTCCACCTCTATACTGGTCACCATACGAGTTTTCGTCATCACTTACTGACGTATACGGTAATAGGATTCAAAACCAAAGATCACCCACTTATGAGAAAGCAGAACTAGATGATTTACTTTCTCCTCCTTTTTCACCTTCGCCTTCTCCTTCTCCTTCTCCTTCCCCATCTCCTCCTACATACCTTTCCAGTGGGAACCCTGTGCATAGTCGTATGCATTCAGAAACTTCTCCCATGAGTATTCCATACCCGATGATGGGAAAAAATCCAAGATATCTTTCTCCTAATCTTTCAGACCCAAACAGGCATCCTCTTCCGCCTCTATCTCCTAGGAGCATAAAAAATGACCCTTCATCCCAGGAGTCCTCATCTGGAATTAGGTCAATGAGGAAATCAGATTCACTGAAGGCTGGAGAGCCTAGTCCTTTGCTAACAAACCTCGGTCCACGAGTAGGCTCTTTCTAAGATTGGTTTTTGTAATTCTCTTGTTAATTTTGACTAGTTGTATGCTCCTTAAATATGCTAGGTTATTCACATTTTTTAATTATATCCTAGGTGTCAAGAGATAGCAAAGAGGATTCTGGACGGTTCTCAGGTCCTTCGTCAAGTAGTTCTCCACGTGTTGGATTCTCGAGAAGCTCCAGCAGATTTTCTTTCCAGGATGAATTTGGCGATGGTGAATTTACCTATCCATTTATTGTTGATGATGTCGACCCTCCTTTTTTCCAAGCCAGGTAATCATGCTTACGATGTACATGTAGCAAACTTGTTTGGTACTATTAATTATTAAAGTTTCTCGGGGAATTACTTCACAATTCGCCCCTAAAAGTAAAGTAATCCTCCCCATCCCCAAAATTCGCTACCTCCTTTGAAGATTTTATGGACCAAATTAATGCCAGTTATGCATTGGTTGATGCTGAAATAGAAAAATATCTTGTTCAATTAAGATACATGTTATTTAGTTACTTTAAGTTCATCAAAACAAGAATTGTTCACTATGTTGATATAGGCTAGGGCTTTGAGATTTTCCATGTTGTACGAAATCAATAGATTCTGCGTTAATTTTCTTCTGCTTTTTGTTTCGTTTGTTTGTTTGTTTGTTTTTTTTTTTTATGCCATGGTGTTTCTCAAGCTTTGATGTGAATTCCAAATGAAAGTTAACCTGAATCAGTTAAAACTTAAAAGCTTTATGCTTGTGGTATGATTGAATATTGGGAATTTGTGATTTTCGGATTGTGCTTTCACCGTCTTCTCCTTGCTTTTGATTATTCACTTTCTTTAATAACTTGGATAGGTGACAGGGTCGTGATTTTACCATCTGCTTCTTGAAATAATGATTTGATTGTTGTCGAACGCATACTTCTTTTGGGGTTGGAATGGGCTCGTGCCTCGATTATTTCTCACATTTACTTCCATTTTATACTTCAGCTTCTGTTGCCATCCCTGCAATTCTAAATTTAGTTTAGGTTCAATTCAATTGCCATAGAATACGGTGTGTGTTTCTACTTTAACAATCTAAAGCCACTTTTGGCATAGAGTGCCTATGCAGTTGGGAATTGATTGTACATTGGAAGTAATATGGGATTAATTGTATCAATCAAATCTCATTCAACCATCATACCACAATAAAACTCAATTTAAAATTGTATTCTACCTCTTCTTTTATTACATTGTGAAAACCACTCTGAGTTGGTCTCAGTTCTTTGATGATGACGATGATGATGATGATGATTGTTGTTGTTGTTGTTGTTGTCAAAAAGATGAGATGTCGTATTGGCTGGCTCTTCTTTTGCATTTCTTTATTGTATTCTCATTATACACATAAAAGTTTGAGTAAATTTAATGAATGCTCATTCAACTTCAAACTTGTTACTACTTACTCACCCATCTATATTGAGTTACCCAATGTTCACTCATCTTTCAATATAATTACACATCCACCACTCACTTAACTTCCATCCATCCAAATGGATGGAAAAATACACGTGGAAATCCAAAATCCTAAGTGGCATGTTGATGGTGTTAACCATGTCCAAGTCACCAAAATACACCAAACAAACACCCCTTTCTCCTCTTCAATTACAGTCAACATTCATTCTCCTGCAACTGCAAGATACAAGCCCAGCAATTACAGTCGTCCACGAGACGTCATTTCTCATACGCATTTTATCATACATTCTTGAAATACAAATCCATCAACCCGTTCTCCAAATACACCTCCAAAAAACCCAGATTTAATTGCAAACCTGAAACCCCTGCACCTCTTCGCTTTACCAACGCAAGAACAAGCTAAACACGCCTTAATTACAAAAGGGAAAGTAAACTTATCTGGGGCCACGCCTCGGCATATCATGAGATTGTAGATATGAATAGCCTGTACGAACAGCCCAAGTGAAAGTCTGTGGGTTTTGAATTTCATGTAACAATAACGTCACACAATCGATTTTCCTGTATTCGGAGCAAAGACGAAGCAGCTTTGTGACGATTGATTGGTTCTTATGGAGCCATTTCGAATGATTTTAGCATGGATTTGCTTCATTTGCTTAAAATTAGAGCATTTTTGGAGTAATACAATGGCATCCTGAGCTCCAAAACTTGATGAAAAATTCCTTCTTGATAATTTCGATTGAATCCACATCTTGCTGCCATTAATTTTCACTGTGATCCTGCCATTAATTTTCACTTTTTACTCTGAATGTTTAGTTCCTATGATGATTTCGATTTGGGTTTTGAATCCACATCTTGCTTTCTGGTTTGGAGGTTTGAGGGTTCTGGTTTGAAGGTTGGGGTTTTGATTTGGAGATTTTGATGTTGGGTTATTACAGAGCGTGTAGTAATTGAGGATAAAGGGGTGTTTGTTTGGTGTATTTTGGTGACTTGGACATGGTCAACCCCATCAACATGCCACGTAGAATTTTGGATTTCCACGTGTATTTTTCCATCCATTTGGATGGATGGAAGTTAATTGAGTGATGGATGTGTAATTATATTGAAAGATGAGTGAGCATTTGGTAACTCAATAAAGATGGGTGAGTAAGTAGTAATAATTTTGAAGTTGAATGAGGATTCATTAAATTTACTTATAAAAGTTTGTTGGAAAGATTGCATTGTTGGTATTCAACCTGCCCATGTAGCTAGTTGGTCCACAACTTTTTATTGCGTTTCGAGGAGAATATTCCAGATTTCCACTAAATTGTCATGTGGTCCTCCCATGTCTGACTTTGAGAAGCTCTATTTCCTTTCCAACTTGGGCTAGTGCCCCAAAAATTTGAGTGAGGTATGTTTTCACGTGGGCCATGTGATGATTTGCCGAATATTTGATTGGCTTGCTTCATTGTTGATTAATTGTGCAACTATAATAAAGGTTCGGGACCAACTTTCTACTTGGGCGATAGGCTCGGTAGCAATGGTTCAATATCGATACGCTTCATACTTTTTATGTTGCTATTTTTCCTGTGCCATTGACTCACGCCATTCTGTTTTCTTTTGCTCTACAGCCTGAATTTCGATGGAAAAAAAAAGTCAGAAGATTCGTCCCAAGCATCCTTTACTGCCAAAAGTTCTCAAGATGCAGCTGTTGGGGTCCTTGTTCACATGCTAAGAACAGCTCCTCCTCTGAGCTCAAATTCTAGTTGTTATATCGGTCAATCCTCTAAGCCAGAAGTCGTGAGAGAAATTGGAGTAGCTTCTGAATTTTTCAAGCCTCGAAATACAACTGATGCACTCGAGGAACTCAAGGCTTACAAAGAAATGAAAGATCTTATTCTTTCCAATGGTGAAGCTCGGATTTCTGTCAAAGAAAAAGATTAGGAGCACATTTGGCTGTGCTTAAATGTAAGGTTTTTTTTTCCTGGATATATAATCTATGGGTTAATCCATTTGTACATAAAGGTTTGTACATAATGGATTACCCCCTCTCACATAATACGCGGGACTCGCATATATTTAAAAATTTAAACAATGTGGTCCCCATCCCCATTGTGAGTAGTAGATAAAAGATTCGGTAAAAAAATTCTGTACATGTAGCATGATCTATAATCTATTTCTTAGATAAGGGAACTTCAGGTAAGTAGAGAATGATAGTTCTTGAGAATTAATGGTGTATTTCTAAAGCAGCATAAGTGGGATAGAGGATTGACAGATCATGTAAATAATAACTACATTTTTTTTGCTGAAGATTACATTGTTCTTAGATTATCGCCCGTCCCCGCCCCCTTTTAAGGAAAAATGGCTTCAAAGCAATACGAAAAACATTACTGCTAGAAGTATCTAAGTAGCAAGTAAATTTCAAGATGAGTGCTCACAACGAAATTAAATGTTATTTTTTTTTTGTTTTTTGTTGTTGAAATGTTCTATTTATTTGTGTCATTGTAAGAGTTTATTTATTTACATTTTTGTGTTAATTTTATAAGTTAAATGATTTTTAAATTGACAATTTTAAAATCTTGGGAGAAAATTGTGCGATAATTTAGAATGCACCAATTGTCTACCCCCCCGCCAACCCCTCCCACAAACCCTGAATTTCAATGCACCAATGGTTTTGAACTATACAAATGAGCAATGTTTATTTGAAATTACAAATATTGATTTACATGCTTCTGATACAGTACTAGTAGGTTCTACTGTGCTTTAAAATTGTTATCAAATATTAGTTTTTAAATCTATTTTTTCAATCAAAAGTACCTATAAAGGTAATTTTTAAGTGAGAGCAAACATGCTACTAAAGTTCAAGTGACTTAACAGTAATTTTAGGGTGTGTTTGATTGTAAAGGTGGAAAATTGGTGGAAAGAAAACGAATTCTAGGGAATTGAATTGATTGGAAATTGTCAATTAATTGTGTTTGATTGATATAATTTTCTACCAAGAAAATATTAAGATTTTCCACCTTTTGGTGTTTGATTGTTTTTGTTTTCCATGGAACTTATTTTATTTTCCAACTATTGGTGTTTGATAGTTATTTGTAAGAATTGGATATTTAATTATAATTAAATTATCTGACAATATATTTTTGAAATTATGAATTTGGTATTTAATTAGAATGACGTTAATTTTAAAAAAAAATTCATAAATTAAATCAATATTCGATATTGAGTAGAGAGGCGTAATAATCTTGTAATTTTCTGCAATTGATCTAGATTAACCAAGAATTTGACATACTTGCCTCCCATCATTTCCTTTCAACACCCTCAATTGGCTGTTTCATCTAAATTGTTCCAATTGAGGCAATTTTTAAAAAAGATTTTCTCCATTGGCATTTCAGGTGTTCGAAAAATTTCCTAACCAAGCTATTCTGTCTTCAATGCGCTGGACTTTATAATCTCCATTATCTTGCTTTCATTTTTTTTATTTTTCAAACAACCGACAATTGATAATCTTTCAAGTGCTCGTGGATAATTGGTATTGATACATTTTTATACTATAAACAACTCCATGCCCAACATCTACATCAACCTTTCAAAACCCTTGAAACAAAATAGCCAACAAAAGATTAAGGATTATAAATGGCTATTGTTTTCCCAGATACATAATTGACAAAAGACATCCACACCAAATGTTACAAAACACTGCACACTAGTTGTTACGTGTGTGCGTTACAAAAAACATTCAAATTAGAACTTACGTGGATGAAGTTTTCCAAATGGATTACGAGTTAATACATACTTACGCCATAAGTCAAGTGCAATCTATGGTAGTGGAGGCGGATCACGACCGAGCTTGTCAAACACCAAAGCACGCATGTATTTTGTACTCATCAAATTCATAAATACCTTAGCCAAACCATCATCGGATCGAAACTCTTTCATGACTTGCATGATGTCGTCCATGTCTAGGTTCATTGCCTCTAGCTTTTCTACAATCAACTGCCAATTGACAGGATTCAGCGTATCTAGCGTAGCTTGCATTTCCATAGCTTGAGCAATTTTTGTAGAAGAATCGGCAATCCTCAATAGGGCGATATTACTCTCATCTATCGGTCGTGCACGACGACGCTTGGATTTGTTGGTCCCTTCTTCGGCGGTACGCTTACGAGAATGAACTGGACTAGGATCCATCTCCACATTTTCCATATCTACTTCGTTCACACTATCATCAATTACTACATTAAAGAGAGAACAATTTATTAGAAGTTTAGACATGAAACGGGCACAGTATCGTACAGTAAAATATATTACATACCATTCATTTTATTTGAAGTTTATACATGAATACAATCAAAGTATCATACTATAAAATATATTGCATACCATTCGTTGGGGAGAAATGGTCGAAGCCAGACACTGCTCGATCTCCAGTGGCTGCATCATTCCCGAAGATAGTCTCCATTTCATCATATCTTGGACAAAGTTTGGTCCTCCACTTCCCAAAATCTGGCTTCCCCTGCAAAATGAACTTGTGAGTGCATTTTAAATGTCCCAAAATCATCTATTTTTCCAATATCTATTATTAGCAAAGTCCAACATTCGTCCAAATTCGTACCGTAATAAAATCCTCCCAAGCAACAACATCAGCTATAATGCATCCAGTTTCGGGATCCAACCCAAAACCACTCATATGTAGCAACTGGCGAACTTCGGCATAGTCTTTTTTAAGAGTCTTTAACTTTGCCCTTACATTCTTATCTGAGACCATGACCCCGCATCCATTGAGAACCCTGTCTACTGCCTTAGATACTTGAAATGTGGTAAAGCCATTGTCACTTCGTTTATGCCCAGCCAACACTTGTTCAACAAGTGACGTGATCAGAAAACCATCCATCTCATCACTCCAACGTACGTTACGAGTCTTAGCATTAGGCTCCATTTTCGACCTACCAAAATCAATGGAATTCCCATCCGAAGGGGTGCTAGGTTTGGGAACATGAAACTGGCCCATGAAGTTTCGTCGCATCTGTGCCATTAAAGCTGTCACTTGAAAATAAAAAAAAAAATTCAATATTAGCATAACTAGAAGGAACAACAATATTGCTTCAAAATCAGCTAATAACGATATAAACCAGGCAAAGAGATTCGAAAATATATGAAAGATGCAAATGTAGATATCATTGGAAATAAGAAAACACGACAACATAACAAGTGTCGAAGCAACCATAATAGGAGACAAAAACACTAGCAATTATTTTCCAAAACATTACATAGAAACACAAGTAGTATTGAAATATAATACATAGTAGATTCAATCAAAATCAATTCCCGCGTCATGACTTGGATGGTAAGCGGCCCACATTTCATCAGCCATTGTATCCCTATTACTAGACCATGCAGCTTCTGCTGTGAAAGATATTGCAACATTTGGTGTGTCATCTTCTGGTACATCAACATGTTCAGGGTTAACCTCATCATCGCTACTATAGTTGTCCTCATCGCAAAGATCATCTGCGTCATAAATCATTAAGAAGTTGTGAATGGCGCAACAAGCAAGCACAATCCTTGCTTGCGTCTCAATGTCGTGGAATGGTTGATGCCTCAAATATGCGAATCTCTTTTTAAGCAGACCAATAATCCTCTCCACAACATTTCGTAGACATGAGTGTCGAAAATTAAACAATTCTTTCTTATTTTCAGGCCGATGTCCCTCAATGTTTCTACGATGGTACCGAGTCCGACGGTAGGGTGCTAGAAATCTCGGAAAGAAGTGAAAGTCAAATCATATTTACCTATTCGACACATGGTTGTTAAGTTATCGTTATGTTTTGAAAGAAGTGAAAGTCAAATCATAAAGAACGAAATGGTATATCTTACCAACAGGAATTGTTAGCCTATGACCTTGTCGTAAGGTAGCACTCCTTAACAATCGACCGTCGTGGGTGGATCCCTCCCAACCGGCAAGCACATACGTAAACTTCATATCAAATGTGCAAGCGACCAAAACATTCTGAGTCCCTCCCAACCGACAAGCACATACGTAAACTTTATATCAAATGAGCAAGCGACCAAAACATTCTGAGATATCATTTGCTTCCTATTACGATACCTCGCTTGTTCCTCTACGGGGACATTTGCATGAATGTGAGTACCATCAATTGCCCCTACAGAATCCTAATAGGAAAACAAAAAAGCATGGTTACAAAAAGAAAAGTGACCGTGAAGGGAAAAAGTAAATGAAGTTAAATATTGCCATTGAACCTTAAAATATTGGAACCATGGCTTCTCCTTATCTTTCTTGTATGGTGAGTTCTGAATAGTGGCATTATTCACAACATCTCTGTACAATCCAAGGCAAGCCTGTAAAACTCTATGGAAGTAATAACTCATTGCTTGACCAGATCTAAAGAACGTAAAACTTCCAGTTCGATTATGGTGGTCATGTCCAACTGTGTTGAGAAATATAGCCACTTGTTCCTCTACTTTTACAGATCTATTGTCAACCAAACCATATGTTCGTAAACGAGCACATAAAATTTGAAGCGGAGCTATCTTCATCCTCAGTAGATCATGACAAATTCTATCACTCATACCGAACATCCTTGTAAGTGTCATTTCTCTTTCGGAATCCCAATTTCTAAGTGGGGCTCTAGGGAGTTGTCGATTACGACGTTTGATGGTATTATATATTACAATTGCTTGCATGACCATCGTCCAAAATAGACCCAATTGTTGTTGTTGGCGACGACGTTGGTTCCTTATGGTATCCATGGTACTTAGAACAACGTCTAAAAAGTTAAAAGCAAGAGAAAAGAAGAGATTTATTCATGTTTACTAATTACAAATTTTTGAAGCATATAAACAACTAGGCTGTACACCCAAATGTCACAGTAAACCATCAAAACTGAGCAACTAGAGGACGGCTGAAAGGATAAAAAATATTATGA